AGTCACTTGAACCTACTTCCTTAATATTTACATGGATTTTGAAGGAAATGTGGTGTCAGTAAGGTTAAAACCAGTAGAGATTTTTCTAGTGGCTCTGAATTGCATGTGTCAAGTCATTCTGTTAGGTAATAAAAGTACCCACCTGTCTGTAGAGGCGCTCCCAGGAATCCTGTGTCATCAGGCGGAATACAGAGAGGAAGGCCCAGCCAAAATGATCAAAACTTGTGTAACCAAAGTCAGGATTCTGCCCAGTCTTCTGGCAGGTATAGTTTTCTGGGCACTCTTTCCTAACCACAAAATAAAGATTAAACAATACTTACATGGAGATTTAAAGGTACCTGAAAGCACCCAATAGACAACATCAAATTTGTTCAGTTTATCTGAAAGTCCATTTCATTATCCCCCAATTTAATTCTGCCAGAAGGGCTGATTTATATCAAACCATCCTAGAAAGCCATTTGTCTAATCAGAGAAAACTGGACAGAAATCTTAGTTTAGGACTAGACAAAAAGTCTCTCCTGATGTAGGATATGTGCAAACAAATACACAGAGAGGGGAAAAATGGAATTATTTTTACTTTTAAATAATTCACCAAGATGAAGAGAGGAGAGTTTATTAATATCTAACGGGTCTTTACTGATCTTTTCCTCCCCTCATTTATATCATTCTACCGTACCATTACATTCCTAGTGGTTAGCAACAAAGTACATTCATAAGTGGTTGCATCCTTGTAGTTCATTCTTTTTCTGAGGTGAAATATCTGCCTTTTAATTTAATGACATACATGCATCCCCATCCTCCTGAAAAATCATAACCGTTCTTTCAGACCAGAAATAAAACCACAGGACATCTGGAGGAACAAATTAAGAAAATATTAAAACTATCTTGTTCACTTACTCGGGATCTGAACTGATCTCACAGAGCAATATGTCAGAAGAGCCATTCATTCTGTGGCAGATATCTGATAAAAAATAAATCAAGGAATCATAAAATCAGAAGTTGTCAGTTTGCACAGCCTTCTGACAGGAAACCATACATTTACTGCACTTGATAAACACCCTGATGGATCAAAGCTCTGGGAAGGATCCTTTCACAACAAAGGACGTATAGGGCTGATTCTCAGCGGATCTGTCTCTATGACAGATTAAAAAAAAATAAGAACTATTTACTGCACAACTCCCAATGTAACATTTTACTTGGTCTCTGGGATTGAGAAGTAGGCAAAATCCCTGAAATATAGAAAAAGTAATGGAAAAATAACCATTCCCTGTGCAGTACCCGTAAAATTAGGATCCCTGTGCAATGCACAGGTAAAAAGGCAAATACTTATAGAAAATTCAGCCCATCCTTTCCCACAGACTGCTAGTCTTTCTCCAAATCCAAGATTCAATAATTTCACATTCACTTGTCCCAGAGGCTTCCTATTAAGACTCGTGCAAATGGAAGGGTTTTCCTTTTCGGGAGAAATACATGCAACTATCACATCTCTGTGAAAAATCAAGACATACATGGGAAGATACACAGATTATGTAAAGAGAGAAAAGAATAATATTTACCTTCATCACTTGGTACATAGATCTTGGGATCCTTACATAATGAGTCATTGTACACAGTATTATTGAGGACACATTTGAATCTTAAATTGCCCATAAAAAGCTGGAGGCCTATTAGGGCAAATATACTCAAGCAAAATACAGTCAAGATCAACACGTCAGCAAGTTTCTTAATGGATTCAACAAGTGAATTTACAATGATTTTCAGACCTAGAAAAATAAGATTCAATAATATGCAAAATGAGAAGAAGAATGCAGTGACATTCTCATGTGATAAGACACAGCAACTGCAAGTATGTTAAAAAGAAAGTAAATGGGTTTGTAACTTCAAGTATTAAATGAGGTAAAACAAAGCACAGAAGTGAGTAAAGCATTTTTCCCTAAATTTCCTAATCATAACTTCTTTGGTTTCTGTTTAATACTTACGCTAATTTTGCTATCTTGCAAATTCTAAATTAAGATGGTATCTTAGCAAAGTCTTACAAATTTTAATGAAGGTGGACAGATTTCTGTGCTTGATTAACACTAAACAAGTACTTCACCCTGGGCCAAATACACATTACAATGACAAAGAGGGTGACTGTTTCCTGGGCTGCCTTAGGCAAAGCATGGCCAGCTGGTCAAGGGAGGTGATTGTTCCTCTCTACCCAGCCCTGGTGGGGCCACAGCTGGACTACTGGCTCCAGTCCTGGCCCATGGACACACTGCAGAGTCCAGCAAATGGCCACAAACATGGTAAAGGGAATGGAGCAATTCTGCCATGAGGAAAGGCTGAGCTGGGCCTGGTCAGCCTGGAGAAGAAAGGGCTCAGGAGGATCTCCTCCATGTCTGCACAAATCTGAAGGGAGAGTGCAAAGAAGATGGATCCAGGTGCTTTTCAGTGGTGCCCAGTGCCAGGACCAGAGGCCATGGGCACAAACTGAGACATGGGATGTTCCATCTGAGCATCAGGAAACACTTTTCTACTGAGAGGGTGACTGAGCACTGGCATGGGTTACCCAGGGAGGTTCTGGAGTTTCAATCCGTGGAGACTCACAAAAGCTGTCTGGACTTGGTCCTGGGTAACCAGCTCTCAGTGGCCCTGCTTGGGCAGTGAGGCTGGACCAGAAAACCTCCAGATGTCCCTTTCAAACTCAACCATTCTGGGATTCTGAGAAAATGCCTTATATATAAACTTAAGCCAAATACTGAGGCAGAATAATTGAATCTGAGATATGATATAAGCAGACAGTGATATCCAGGATTTTTCATAAGAAAAAAAGTCAAATTATATTTGATCTCTGTTCTCCAAGCTGAATATGAAAAGAAAAGTATTTATGTATGGTTTTGACACTTAAATTAAACACTTCCTATGTTTCATTCCTGCTACAATTCCATAGAAAGAATTAGCACACTGATGAAATGGAGAGACTGTCAGTAAGATTGTTCCTTACCTGGTATTACTGAAATGGCTTTCAAAGTCCTCAGCACTCTGAAGGTTCGAAGAGCTGAAACATTGCCTATTTTTTGAAACATAGTAACGTACCTATAAAATGAAACCACATGTAACTGAGGCAAGGATGTAACTTTTCAAACCATAACCATGTTGAGTCAGTCTATGACTATTTTTCTCTTTGCACATATGCAAATGGTGGTTCAAGCACAGTAACTCTTTAGCAGGTAGGATGCCAAACACTCTCAGGAATTTCAGCAACATCAAATAGTATTTTATCTGTGGCTTTTTCCCTTCAGTGTAAAAGAACAACTGAGTTGTACTTACATTACAATAATAACAGACAGATCCAAGCAGTTCCATGGATCTCGAAGGAAGGTAAATTCATTCCAAACAAATCCTGTTGCTACTATTTTTATCAATATTTCAGTAGTATATATGCCAGTAAAAGCAATTCTGAGGAGGAAAAATTGTATGTAAGTTATAGAAATAAAAATATTAATGAGATTGAGTCATATTCAGGCACATTCAGGAATTTCCTAAGATTTAGTCCCTGCATGGAGTAAAGGTAGAAAATGTGAAGTAAAATAGGACTGGTTACATCGCTTTCAGAAGCATCATGGCTATAAGATGTGTTCCGAAATTCTAGTAAGATTTCAGGTTGTAACTAGGAAAGTTCACATAAGCATACAATATTATTTCTAGGTTAAGGATAGCTCACACTTCCTTAGCAAACATTTTATGACTGTGTCTGTATTCTAAAGCAGGCTGGAAAATCTCAAAGGCTCAAATTCTAGCAAAACACTAGAGCAAATATTCTATAACTAAAAGAAATCCTACAGAAAATTAAGCTGTTGTTATCACCATGCTTACCCCAAGATAAAAGGAATTGAAATTATAGAACTTCTGAGGTTCCAGGCATATTTTTAAGATTTAATTTTAGAACATTAAGTCAAGTTGCACTGGATACAGTGCACAAGTGAAAAATGTAGCAAGATATTACAAAGAAATGCCTTTCTAATGGGAACAACTGACCCAGAAGTGTCACCAGGAAACAGGAAGAAAGAACAGAATGGACATTTATCCCTTTCTAGTTTTTGCATGAGCCAACCATAACAGACATTCGGGTTATTGCTGTAGAATGAGAGATTTTAAGTTAAAATTCTACCCCACAGTCTCTCTAAAAGTCTCATTTCTTAAAAGAAAAAATGGGCCAACCTTCTATGTCACAGCAGATGGCAAAATTAGCCAACACAGAGGAAAGGGCACATGGTGTGAGCCTCTGAGAAAAGGCACTGAAGCTCCAACAAAGACTGTGAGATACAATAATCCTCAATCTTCCTCAGAGGTCTGACTGAGAATTTTCAAGGCCCTGAATTAGATCACCACATTGTTTAAATTTTTCATTCCTGTGTGTAAATATCCATGGAAAAAGAGGAAACATACAACCACTGAGATACTTACTCAGTCCAGTTGAGTGCTGGTGGAAGCTGACGTACAGTCATAACCACACAATTGAGTAACACGGTACATATAATAATGCCAACAAAACATGTGAACAGTAAGTTAAGGAAAAAAAAGCTACATTTTAAAACAATGAAGTTCATAGAAGGTTCTGATTGCCACACAAAAAGCATACAGGCATTCAAATAATGACTTTGGTTTTTGGATATGGTCAGGACTTTTCATGTATTTCCCAAAGAAATTAATAACATATCAAACTTGCTCATTGGGGTAAACTTCAGGATTTACATATAAAAATGTGCAGACAGTTTCAGAAGTTAGGACTTTAGTGGGACATAGCATGTTTGACAGAAGAGATGAGAAACATAAATAAATGAAAAAAAATTGGTGTACTATTATTTGAAACTTGAAAAACCTCCATTTTTTTTTTTGCAGCAGGAGGATGGAATAAAGAGAAATGGGCCACAATTCTGTAGTAACTAGGGGTTTTAAGCCTGGGAAAACCATTTGAAAACACTTAATAACCAATTACTAGTGTTCTTTCATAAAAGTTCACCTGTCACCAACAAAACTGTTTGGCTGTTTTTTGTTTAAACGAATATGGTTCTTAAAATTAGAGTTAATTTGAAAGTTAATAGTAAATTTAGTAATTTCTTATAGCAGGAATACACATTCAAAGTCAGACATAAGTTCCACTAAAATGATCTATTTTCACAAATTAATAATTCCAAATGAATAGAGATGTTTAGCAGAAAAAGCAGAAACTACTCACTTCATGGTTTTGCACCTGCAAATCCTTCACAGTCTGATATTTTCCAAAGTACAGTTATATTATTGCAAAAATATGAAAGATGGTCACTCTTCAGAACATTCTAAACTTGAGTGTAGAACACATTTATAAGGAGAAATGAGACTCTTCCAGCAAAGCTTCACCATAAATCCCATCTTTCATATCTTAATAACTAGGGAGTCCCTGGTTTGCTTTGTTTGTTAGTTTGTGTGGTTTTAATTTAACCTTGTGACCACATCAGAGATTTCAAACAAGTTCTGGAAAAGGGCTACAATATCATACAATAGCCTCTAAAGGTTGTTCCATACCACTATCTGCAAAATTGATTTTAAATATCAGCTTTTTTCACATTTTCACCAACATTATGCAAATATCTCAGCTGTTGTAACATTAGATTCAATACAACTTTTAAAAAATCTCTGTCACAGCCATATAAGCTCTACATTCACATTCGTATAAATAAAGGAACAGAATGACAGAAAATGATACAGAATATTTTAAAATTCAAATAAGGGAAACCAATGAAAGGATATGAATTGGTCAGAATTTTAATTGCTGCTTTTCTGACTGGATTAAAAGGACCAAATATACACAAGGCAGGTGTGGCAGTAAACCGGAAAATAGTCCTCTTTTTATTTAGCACCATAAAAGTCTACAAAAAAAAGATTTATAGGATATAGAATATTTAAATGAACTAATTTTTTTTGGCCATTTAATTGAGGAGGGATTCCTACAGCATCTACTTTAGACACTCCCACAGGCAACAACACCAACTCCTTTGCAATGGCATGGAAGATTTGCAGTATAAATATGGTACAATAAACAAAGCCAACGAGACATAAAATAACAGAAAATTAATTTACAACAATGCAAATACATGGATTTGCTACACAGAGTGTTGGAAATATCTCAAATATGCCTCTCCTAATTGGTATAATCTTTGTAATTCAGTGAAAGCTTCTGCAATTCCAGCATGATCTACTCTTGGACAGGCACTGCTTATACCACAGGGAGTTCAGC